ATTCAAGTTCTTGCATTAGTGATCTCTTTCTCTGAACTTGATCATTACACAAGATGATCTGTTCTAGAAATGCTCTGATTTAATCTAATCTTCTGGCTTAAACAATTTAGCTTTTATCAAAGTTAATATACTTATATACTTGGCATACTGTTCTTAAGACAGTGATATTTTAGTTCATCTATGCATATGCTTGACTTTTTTCTTAAATTTAAATTTGAATCTAATAGTTTTTGTGCTTTATTTAGTCCTTGTTAATTTTAAATTACAAGGATATTTTTGATTTCAATAGTTTTGTAACATTTCAGTTATGTAATTTGTGTTCATCTAACATTGTTTTATCATTGTACTTTTCTTTTTCTTTTCTTTTTTTTTTAAATCAATTTATGCTGTATTGCCTCTATATTAATTAGAATATACTGATTGAAAGGCCAGATAAAGGTAATTTTGTGCTATTGTTAAGCTCATGGTTGACACAATTTCAGAGAATAGCATCTTATATTTAAAGTAACTTTGTAAAACATTTTTTAAAAAAATATTCAAAATCATTTGATTCTGTTTAACATTTAAAATCACAAATGATTTTTTTTTCTAATATGTAGAATTATTTTTAAAATGAACAGATGCACTATTTCAATGAATGAAAAATACTTTTGAACATTTTCAATTTATTAGCAGATGTATATAGAACTTTTTGATTAACATAGTTTCTGCTCTCTATTGTCAGAAATTTTTAAATAAGAACATTTTAGTAAACTTGATAAATACTATACTGACAGTAAATTCTACCTCTTCCAACTTCAGGATAATTTGTTACTGGATATGATCTTGTGTACTATGTATTGTACAAGTGATCTTAACCAGTACAGACAATAAAATTGCATGACAAATTGTTCTATAAACTTGATTATTAAACAACAGATTTTGTGAACAGAATAAAAACAAAGGTACTTTGTAAAATTACAAAATATCAGTCATTTAATGAGCCTCAGTTGAATAGTTCTTTGATTATTCTTAGACTTTTCTCATTGTGTCAAGGTATAGACTATTCTGAGATAATGTATTATTGTTGATATGAAATTATTTTTATATTTTGTTCTTTTTCTACTTTTAACTGAAGTCCATGTGAACAATTTTTATTGGGTTTATTCATTTATAGAATAGATAATTTTATGTTGTGCTATTTTTCTTTAATACATTTCTTTATAGAAAAGACTAGTGTTTATTGTAGATTCTTTTGTAAGATTTAGGATTTTCTGTAATTTTGCTAACGACAATGGTTATTAAAAAGGTACAGATTTGTGAGGCAATTTACTTGTCTTTAACTTTATATAACTGGCATCAGTAACTAACTATATTTAAAAAATAGTCATCAATCCATTTAAAGGAAGCTTTTTATTCTAACAAGCAGTCTTATTAATGTTAATGATTTTTGTACATGGTTATGTTTTCTTGTACACACTTGATTTTAACTGATTAAGTTCATCAAAAAAAAATTTTGACATATTTTAAAAATATTTCACTGTCAAGTTTTTATTAAATTTTATGTTCATGATTTGAGGATTAAATTGAGAAAAAATTGAATTTTTAGTTTTCTTTAAAGTAGCATAAAAACATTTTGAAAATGTTTATTACTTTAAACATTTTTGGAAATTTAAGTAGAAAGAGTCAAGCTTTAATTTAAAACTTGTCATGGACAGGAATGTAAATAAGCTGTTGCTTTAGTATTAAGGATTCTTCAATACAGAAGTTAGTCCTCTTACAATTTTAGGATGCAGGACTTTGTCATTGTAGGAATTTTAAGATTTTAAAATTCAGTTTTGATTTTAATTCTTATTTTAATTAATATATCTTTTAGGCATTAATTTTCGTGTTAATGATTTGTAATATATTTTACTTCCAAATTGTGTTCCCATGAATAGAAAATTTGTAAATTTTATTTTACTAGAACATTTCTATATGCTTTTATTTTCTATTCAGCTTCAGAATTTTGTCTTTCATATGCAACTTTACCAAAAGTTTTTCCTAGATTTTATGTATTAACGATTCATACTTTAAATATCAGTATTTAGTATATATGGGAGCTTAAAATTGATTTCCAGTATCCGTTAAGAATGGACCCTAATAGCAGTAGAAGATTTATTAGTGTGAGATTTTTCAGTTAATGTTAATTTCACTTAATTTGTTTTACAAATATCAGTTTACAATTTAGATAAGCTAATTATTAACATGATTTAGATTTTCACATTTTCTGTTTGCTCTTATTTATAGATATTCTGCTTCACTTGATTCTGAATCATGTCTAAGAAAATTAGACATTTTTGGGTGATCTGTAATTGTAAGCAAATTTAATTTTCGTGTAATCTTTATATATGGAATATGACTTAAAAAATCTATTTAGGTAATTCTGTGTAGAATATGTATAAAGTTTAAATCTTAATGTTCATCAGGTGCAACTTCACAGTGGACTTGGGAAGTCTTTTTTTTTTCTTTTTTTTTTCTTTTTCTTTTTTTAAAAAATTTGGGCATAACTTATAATCCGATAGTAATTTTGGGCTCGTTAGAAGGGTTTTTGGTGAAGCCTTTACAATAAAATAAAAATCTTTCAAAAAAATGAAAATTTGGTGGGTCTGGAACCAAATTTCCATATTTGAGCATTGAGGCCCCAAAACACAATTTGATGCCATTCGACTTAGGGAAAAGTTATAAACATCAGTGAGGTCTTGCTAAAAGCGTTTTGTTGAGGCCTTTACAACAAAATAAGAACATTCCAAAAAAGGACAAAACTTTAACTATCTGGGACTGGATTTCCATATTTGGGCATTAATGCCTGAAAACACATAATTTGGTACTGTTTAATTTTGGGGAAAAGAGACAGACATTAGTGAGGACTCATTAAAAGCATTTTTATGAGCGTTTTACAACAAAGTAATAAATTTTCAAAGATGATAATTCCAAACATATGACATGTTTGATAGAATAATTGAGACAGAAATAAAGAATTCTTCATTTTTTAAAGTTTTATTCAAAGTATCTTCAAGTGGAAACAACTAAACTTTCAAATAATGCATCATCATTTAGTGGACCAAACATTGGGCTCTTGATTCTGCAGTACCTGGTTGAATGACTGTATTCAGCACAATGCTTGCATTATTGTTGGGCTTTCAAGCAGACAGTGTTAACCATTGGATTGGATCCCAACCATAATCTATTGATCACATCATCTTGATTAGAAGATTGTGAGGTTTTTCTTGCAAGTTTTAACTGGATTGATTGAAAAATTTTGTTGTTTGCCTCCAAACCTGATTCATCGCAATCTTTGAACTAAAAAGCCCTCCCTGCATCTCGATCAACTCCTAGGAATGTCCTAGAAGTTGATGGTCTGCTGGTGTGATGCTAATCTAGATACCAGGCTTTGGTTTTGGGCCTTGGTGTGGAAAACTTTTGAGGAGAAAAAAGTACAGGTTTGTACAAAGTTTCCTGTACACATTCACTTGCTTGCTAGAACAGAAAAGATGTAATATCACGGAAAGATGCTGGCCGAATTGTCAGATTATTTGTGTGAAACGATCATCAACCATTTGGACAACAATATCTCTTCCACCAAAGTGAAAGATGTGCCGTGCAGTGTTTCCTGTAGTGGATGTTCCTCCTTTACCTGTACCGTCAGGAAAATCCCATCTTTCATCAAGAATTTCTTCAACAGATGCATGACAATCTTGACATAAAATCATTTGAATTTTTTCATATAAATTGACTTTAGAAATCTTTAAATCCATTTTTGAGTTCTTTTAAGTAAGAATTAGGTCAATAAATCCTTCAGTTAAGTTTTGGAGGCATGTTTGGTATCAAAAATTTCTTGATGACTATTCAGATAAATTCTCTTATTTCAAGAACTAAGTGTGCCTAAACTTTGAAATACCAAAGATCAGATTGATGAAACTGAATTTTTCTGCACCATCTCATTTCATATTTTCAGAAAATGCATAGTTATGCATGTCTGACTTCTGATATTTTGAAAAGTTTTTTGATATCCATAGAAATTTTGTCAAAAAAGGAATATTTTGGGGTAACAAAAAACTTTTCACTTTTTTTTTTTTTTTAACTGGAAATTTTCTTTAGTTTATGGAAATTGAATTCCTTTTGGGTAGATTAGGGATTTCATTTTTTTGCAAATTTCTAGCCTCCAGCGCATTCTGGATTTGTCAGATACAACTTTTTCTTATTTTATTATAGATGAACAATTTTTGAATAAATTATATCTTTGTATGCATTTTAACCAAAACAAACTGGATAATCTAGTCAAAATATGAATATAACTATATCAATACCTATAATCTCTTTGGGTTTGCTTTGAATTCTATGTAATTATAAAACCAATTTGATATCAAAATATTAGATGTGATGCACATCAGTGTCACATACTCTTGTAGTTTTTTATACTTTTTTTTTTTTTTTTTTTTTTTTAACATTTCTGACATATATAACAGCTTAGAAACTTTTTGCTCTTTTCCAATTTGCAAATGTGTAGAAAAATCACAAACCATAGATAATTAAAAAAAAATTTTAGGAGCTTGTTAGACAAGTGTACCCATTTTTTATTACCCCAGAAGAGGGATTTTAATTTATATAAGTTAGCCTTTTTAAATAGAAATACTAATGCTTTTTTAGACTTTTTTCCTCAACTCTTCAGAAATTGAACAAAACTGTGTAATATATATATATATATATATATATATATATATATATATATATATATATATATATATATATATATATAATGTTTTCTTTTTATGAGGTGTGTGCACATTTAAAATTTAGGCATTTAAATAAAATAGTTTTTATTTATTCTCCTGATTGGAATCGAGGATAATGGTCTCATTGAAATTGATATTCCGCTACTTTCACTATTTTAACTCTTAATTATATTTCAAAAATTTGAATGTAATATATTTTTCTGCCTTTCAATTATTGTATAATTTAATTTTATCTGTTTATTACAGGAAATCGGTTATATACCTGATAAAGTTAAAAAAGCAGAGAAGAGAATATCAGCTTACCCTTATGATACAGAAGCATGGAGTGTTCTCATCAGAGATGCTCAGGTAAATATACAGATTATTTACTTTTGTGGTAGTGTAATAATCACTAAATCATACTTATAATGATTGAATTTTGTACTAAAATCTTTATTTGGTTATAAATTTTCTATTTTATATAAATAACCTGATTATCATTTTGATGAAATCATTTAAACTGCAGCAAGCCTTTTGATGCATTATTCACCATTGTATTTAACTATGGGATTAAAAATTTGTCAAATTATTTATTTGATGAGTATAAACATTCTCTAGTTTATTCCATTTTTTGATCCCTGTAAATGTCCCTATTTAAATTTATTACATAAAGAAATGATCTTTATTTAAATTGAATATTAATATTTTGCTCACATAAATGGATTCTATTTGAATTGTTTATAAATCAATTATATCTACTGCTCCTTTTTTTTTTTTTTTTTTTTTATGCCGATCATTAAGGTCACTGAAAAATACTTGGTCTAACCTACTTTGCAATGTATTTTTCTTCTTTAAGGGATTTTTTGATCAGTCTGAGTTGTCAACACTGTGTACATTTATGCTACTTTAAAACTTTTTTTTTAAATCTTCATAAGCAGAGTAGGAAGTAATTAGGGATCAGTCAGTTTTGTTAAAGGAAGGAGACCAGTGGGGGTTGACAACATTTTTAATCCTCTTATGCATTTTTCCCCCATCAAATTTCATCTGGCAAGTCTGGACTGCACAAGAGCTAGCAAGATAAGTTGCCAAACAATTTTCAGTAACTCCCTGAAATGTTTCAAATAGTTTAAGAGAAACAAAATAATTAGTATTTTCCCAAGTAGATTGATAGGAATGAATTAATATTGCTACATAGTTTGGGAATAATATAATTCTTTTTGAGAACTTGTATTGGCATAAAGATTTGGTTTTGTTAAGATTAAACTAATTTGTATTAAAAAAAGTTTGTTTTTGTTTTTTTTTTTGTTTTTTTTTTTTTTTTTACTCATAAATTTTCCTAAAATAATTTTGTGCTGTTTTATTTATAATTTCCTAGCGTTAATACATTTGGGGCTTACTACCTATATTGTCAAGTACTGTACACTGGGGAGAAGAATGATGCATTCTTGGGTAGTATTATTGCATATAGATTTAAAAAAAAAAAAAAAAAAAACTTAGGAAGAAGCAAGGCTGTTAAAAAAAAAAAGTTAAAATATTTTAATGAATTTGTGCTAGAATAATTAAGAAAGAATTCACTATATTGTGGTGATCCAGTAAATAAAAGTTATTTCTTGTCCATGAAATATTCTTTGTAAATGTAATTATATATAGGTTGGTTCTGACAATTCTCATTGTATCTAACAATTATGCACAATTTATGTACAAGAATATTTTATTTAAATGATGGTATAAAATTTTAAATTTTTACTGAGAAGAAACTTGATTTAGAATATTTTTTCTTTTTTTTTATATAGATGCTTCTAAGTATTAAACACTCGGATGTGACCATGAACTTTTAACAATGAATTTTGTGATTTTAAAAAAAATTATACTTTTAATTTTCAAATATAAATTATATAACTTGACATAAACCCAAGATTGTTTTAATATTTTTAATTATATAAAATCTTTGCTTTTACAATACAATATCAGTTAAAAAATTTTATTTTTAAAAGTATCCAAATTTTTAAATAGGCATAACATTTTGCCATGTATAGTAATGATTTTTTTTTTTTCTCTTGCTCTCTTTTCCAGATGAAAATGATTGGAGATGCACGGAACACATATGAAAGGCTTGTAGCACAGTTTCCCAATGCAGGACGCTATTGGAAGAGTTACATTGAGCAAGAGGTTTATAAATCTTTGTTATATAGGAGTGGCTCTCTACAATGGCTGGCAGAAGTACCTAACAACACCTGAGATACCAGTTCAAGTCTTATAGTTTTGTACTCAGTTTATTGGCAATTGAAAATTACTTTTCATTTGTCACAATTATTATATGCTAACTTGATATGAAATTCCTATTTAATTGAAATATCTATTGATACTATTAAAATTTAAGTACAATCTTCAACGAGACTTGTTTTTAAGGGTTCTTAACGATTCTCTGATACTAAATATTGCATTTTAATGGAAGATGCAATTTTCTTGAATAAGTTTGAAATATTGGTTGATAGAATAAGTTTATACTGTATATAGCAAGAATAAACAGTTGGCAGTGTAAAAATAATTATGTAGCAAATTTTCGTCAACGATACAAATGCTTCAATTTTATCCTTTATTGTGAAGAAACATTACAACAAATCTATCTTAGTTGTGGTTTTTATATCTAGTAACTTATTTGTGGATAAGTACGTCAGTCTCATGGCTCAGAAATGTAGGTACATCTATCATATATACTAAACTTTGAAGAAAATGATTTTTAAATTTAAGTGTTTAAGTATTTTGAAGTCTGATTAAATCAATTTCATTTCAAGTAGAATTCGAATTTGTTTCTATTTCAATTTATATAATTTCTAATTGTTAGAAATTTGTAATGTCATAAACTGCCATCATTCAGCTAAATTGTAACCTAGTTGATTATTTTGTTGAGTGACTAAGGCGATATAAGAAATTACTTTGTCTTGGCATATGTATCAGTGAATTGGACAGATTCATGACAGTCCATTGATGGAAATCAATGATTTAAGCAGCTGATGAAATATGCTGCCAATATGACATCACCCAAAAATATCTTGACCCGGGTGGTTAAATTTTGCCTTTTTATGTTTTGTGTATAATATATATATATATATATATATATATATATATATGAATGACATTTTTATGTTTATACATTCTTTATAGATACAAATATTTAAGTAAATGCTCTATTTATAATAAACGGTATTAAACAACATTTACCAGCCTGAGAGACAGAGGTCCCTAATGTAAAAATGATCTTGTAGTACAAGAAGCTTTAGAAGCATATTTTTTCTCCTTCATAGGTACATTTAATTCATATCTTATTAATTAATGAAAAAATATAGGGCACATGTCAGTTTTATTTTAACTAAGTTTCTTTATATTCTAATATTCAAATTTCTAGCTTTTACTATGTATTTTTCCTTATATACTTTTTAGCTCTTAAGGTCATTTAGTTCAAACTAAAAAGAAAAAAAAACTTGTGTTGGGTGGAGTTGGGTATTTTGGCACTTCAATTTGCAATGAATAAATGTGCTTTTCATGAGACAGTAAATATTAAATTTAAGAATTCAAACTACTTTAAACTTTTAAAAAATTTAATAGAATATGTTTATGTTCAGGGATGTTTTGGTCCTTGTAAATTATGCCCATGTTTTTGTAATGTATTATATTTCTAAACCATACTGATCTTTTTCTAACTGTTGCTATCAAACATTTATATAAACATTTTCAGGTCTATCGTGGATATATATTGTATCGTGTTTCTCAGGAATCTTTATTTCAACTGCTACATCAGTGTTATGCGTCAGCATCCAAACATCAGCTTTTTACCCTTTGAATTTCTTTGTTTTTCATATTGGAAAACTCTACTTGTTCTCAGGTGTCAAGGTATTTCTGTCTAAAAATGTAGAGATCTCACACATTTTAATTTTTATGAAAAAAGGGATTTCTTCTCAAAAGCCATTTTGAAAGTGAGGAGGAATACACTGTACTTTGAATTCATAAAACAGTCTGACATCAGGCTTTTTGCGTTTTGATTTTTTCGAGTTTGTCTTCAATGCTATTTAGATTGTTTTATTTCTTGTGTGTGTTTGGGTGCTTTTGTATGTGTATGGATGCTGGGATTGTGTTGGTTATGTTTGGAAATCAATGAGAAGTAGTTTTGATTGTAATTTATGTATTATGATACTAAAAAAAATTTCTTTGTAGTAGTTAAATAAATTATAAAAAGGCTATAAATTAATCTTTATTCTCAAAAATTAGGTTGTTCAGTTCTAACTTGAATTGGGTAAAAATTCTCTTGAATAATTTTTAGGGTTAGATTTCCAGTAATGTTTAACCTTCATGCATGCAAAAAGAAAAAAATATCTAAAGGATTTTTTTTCCCTTGACACAACTTTTTTTTTTTTTTTTTATAACTACCTTCACTTCCTAATGTTTGATTAGAATTTAAAAAAAAAAAAAAAAATGAAAGGAAATTTATGCATTTTCTTTGTTCTTGAGAATTGACAACATAAAAAAAAACATTAGATTGTTTATTGGAATGGGTAACAAAACATTGGCTAATTGCCAATCAATTCAAACTTTATTAAATGGTAAATAAAGACTTCATTATTGTTCATTTTTATAGTTTAGTAAATGTTTACAAATTTATAAATAAAAAAAAAGCTTTCATATTTATTTAAAAATTTGTGATAAATATTACATTGTTTTATTTTTTAGAATTTTGTAAATCTAATATTGTTTAATATTTTTGTTGTACATTCTTGAACAAAAATGTATAAATTCACTTTCATATGTTTAGGTTTTATTGCAAATCTAATAATTGCTTTTTTTTAAAGCAATAAGCATTACTAAGGAATGAAGGAAGTTAGAATAATAGAAGTTTTAAGGGGAAAATTGTCCTTTTGACTTTTTTTTTTCTTTTTGCGGGCTATAAGGTTAAACGTTACCTGATTTTCTTTCAAAAAGATGACAGTTTTCTCCATTATTGAATAAAGGGAATTAAATTCTACATTAATAAAATTATAATAGTTATGCTTTCTTTCTGAATAAATTTCTTTAACTAAAATTACATGTTTTCTAATACATTTTTTAGCTTATAGATAAACCTTTTTCTTTCTTATACTGCTGTTTTCATTTGGTGTAATCTATTTCTCTAGAACAAATGGAATGCTGCAGTGTATGCTGCTATTTAAATGCTTAAGTTGTAAAATGTAGCACAAAAATAATTTGAGCATATGCATGAAAGAAAGTGCTGTTGAAATATGTTGCATGTATGGACAAAGTTCTTCTGTGTAGAATGAATGCTGTGAGTGAACAATCTGTTCAGTAACAACTGGTTGAATAATCTAAATTTAATTTTCATAATCTGTGAACTTAATTCAATTGATTTTATTACAATTTCCCAAAAGAAATTTTTGGACATTATTTGTGATTACGCTTCTGGTTTGTAGTCTAAATACCAAAATAGTACTTGGATCATGATCCTCTGTGCTTTGAAATAATTCTTTTGCTATTAGAATCTATAGTTATGAAATTTTCATTCATTTTTTTTTTTTTTTTTTTTTTTTTTTTTTTTTTTTTTTTTTTAAATTAATTTTAATATTTAGGGGGGGAAATGCACCATCCTAAAAACGATAATTATATTCATACATTTCGTTGTGAATGTAGTGTGTTATCCTATTGGGTTATTGATTTTGTCTTTCATTTAATTCATTGCATTATACTTTTTACTGTGCAATCACATAGACACACACACATATATATATATGCATACATTTCTAGGGGAGTTAAAAAGAAAAAATTCTACATAACTTTAGTTAGCATGAGATATTAAATCATGGTGGGAGTTAAGCCTGCAAGCCAGCCATAGATTCACATCAGTTGGTTCTGATCACTAAGACACATTTTCAAAAATTTATGTAAATGGAAATCAGTTTTTGACAAATTTTACATTTCTGATGTGACTTGATTTAAGAAAGAAAAGAAGAAAAAACCTTAACAAGCAATATAATGTTCACCCAGTTGGTAGCTGAGTCATCTGTTGTATGCTTGAGCCAGTTGTATGAAAGATTGACATTCTTCATTTCAGACCTACCATCTCGAACAACGTTGGAGGACTCCTTATACTTTGGTCAACACTTTTTAACTTTTTTTTTTTTTTTTTTTTTTTTTGTTTGTATGTTTTTTGTTGTTTTTTTTTTTTCTTTCAGATTTTCTTTTTAGAATATTGCACTGATTGCAAATTTAATGAAAATATTTGTTGCTAATAAACAGTTCTTCACTAGAAAAGACATTTTTCGTCATTATTTCTCTAGTTGTTGAATTGTTTACTTTTTGTCTTGTTTTACCCCCTTTCCCTTTTAGCAAAATGTCACTGTATGATTTCTGAGATCTGGAAAATAGTAATTTCAAAACATGAGTATTTCTATTTATTATTAATTATTGCAGTAGAATTTATACTCTGCTTAATATAACCATTAATTAAGCAATTTTATTTAAAACCTATTGATCAAATTATTTGGAAAATAGGTTTTTAAAATTATAATCAATGAAATATTTTAATCTCAGATCTCAGTAATTATGTACATTCATATTTTAAAATTCCCCTGAAGTAATTCATTTGTTCTTATGTAGATGATACTCATTTGATTGAGTGTAATTTCAATACTTAACTGGATTCTATATTGCTGCTATCTCTTCATTTGTTGTAGTCTTGTTTTCCCTGGGGTGTTAGTATTGTTTGAAAATTAGTTATGTATTTTTCCAGGGTGATTGGATATACATTTTAGTTATATAAGGTGATTTACACTTTAAAAGTTTATCTATGCGGAGATATCATATATTTGAGGGGGGAAAAAAAATCAAGTTTTAACATTCAGTAATCTTTTCTATGATTTCTTTTGGTTATCAGTTTTTTCATTTTACTCTGAGTTATATTAAATAACTCTTTATTTTAATTTTACTTGAGAGGAACATTGTTAGTCATTTTGATTTAAATTGTTTAAGAATTCATACAGAGAATTTTTGTACTTAAAATATTTTAGAAATTTCATGTCATCAGTGTTGAATTTTAAGGACATTGGGTTTTGAATTTGTAACTTCAATTTTTTTTGTATTTACATTGAACAATAGCATATACTAGTCTTAGATCTGTTACTCAA